AAAGAGGAATCGAAGTCGACAGAGCCAAAATCGAAGTAATCGAGAAACTGCCTCCACCTTGCAATGTCAAAAGCATCCGCAGTTTCCTCGGCCATGCGGGTTTCTACCGGCGATTCATTAAGGACTTCTCAAAGATCTCCAAACCCCTCACTGACCTTCTCTGCAAGGAAGCTACATTCGATTATACAGCTGACTGCGACGTTGAATTCCAGACCTTGAAGACAGCCCTGACATCTGCTCCCATCATTCAACCGCCAGATTGGGATCTACCATTTGAGATCATGTGTGACGCCAGTGATTATGCCGTTGGCGCAGTTCTTGGACAGCGAAAGGATAAGAAACTCCATGCCATTTATTACGCAAGCCGAACTCTGGATGATGCTCAGACGAACTACACCACGACAGAGAAAGAAATGCTTGCCATTGTCTTCGCGTTCGAGAAATTCCGATCATATCTCATCGGCTCCAAAGTGATCGTTTACACAGACCACGCTGCACTCAGGTATCTCCTGTCTAAGAAAGATGTTAAACCACGTCTTATCCGTTGGACACTACTTTTACAAGAGTTTGACTTGGAGATCCGAGATCGAAAGGGAACAAAAAACAGTGTTGCTGATCACCTATCGAGACTACAGATTCCCGAATCAATCCCGATCGACGATGCACTTCGGAACGAGCAGATCATGGCCATATCCGTCCAGTCCGAAGCACCTTGGTACGCCGACTTTGTCAATTACCTGGTTAGTGGTCTCCTTCCTCCTGAGTTAAATTACAACGGGAGAAAGAAATTTATCCATGAAGTTCGTGATTTTTTCTGGGACGAGCCTTTCTTATTCAAGCGCGGCAAAGACGGACTGTTCAGACGTTGTATACCCGAGGACGAAGTTCAGCGAGTGATTTTTCATTGCCACTCTTCAGACTATGCCGGTCATTTCGCTAGTTCGAAGACGGCCTCCAAGATCCTCCAAGCAGGTTTCTACTGGCCCTCTCTATTTAACGATGTTCATCGGTTCGTTTCTTCTTGTGATGCATGCCAGCGCACCGGTAACATTTTCCGACGTCATGAGATACCTCAACAGTTCATCCTGGAAGTCGAACCTTTTGATGTCTGGGGGATCGATTTTATGGGCCCATTCCCTTCCTCTTGTGGGAACCTCTACATATTGGTTGTCGTCGATTATGTGAGCAAATGGGTCGAAGCGATTGCCAGCCCAACAAACGACTCTAAAGTTGTTTCACGAATGCTTCAGAGAATCATTTTCCCTCGTTTTGGCGTATCGCGTGTTCTAATCAGCGATGGAGAAACCCACTTTGTGAACCGAATCATTGACACTTTACTGAAGAAGTATGGGGTTCAACATCGCGTTACCACACCCTATCATCCGCAGACCAGTGGACAGGTTGAAATCTCTAACCGGGAGATCAAATCCATTTTGGAATGATCATGCTAGCCCAGAAGACATACCCGAACCGGAATACGTACCCCCTCCTCCTAGGCCTCCGTCAGTACCGTTT